ACCATGCCTTGCTGCGCGTGCTGGGAGCAGTACTCCGGTTTCTTGCTGTCGACCTTGCCATATGACGGCCCCTTTGTACACCCGGGATGGCCACACCTCTTCTTGGAGACGTTTGTCATCCCTTGCTCGCTGTGCTGGGAGCAGAACTTTGCCTTCTTGCTGCCGTCCTTGCCAAAGGACGCCTGCGTTGTGCACCCTGGATGGCCGCACTTCTTACTATACAGGTTGACCATATCCTGCTGCGCGTGCTGGGAGCAGAACTCCGCCTTCTTGCTGNTTGCTCACGACATTGACCATGCCCTGCTGCCTGTGCTCAGAGCAGAACTACGGCTTTTTGCTGCCGGCTCTACCGTATGACGGGTGCTTGACGCACCCGGCATGGCCGCACCTGTTGCCCAACACATCGACCATGCCCTGCTGCCTGTGCTCAGAGCAGAACTCCGGCTTCTTGCTGCCGGCTCTACTGTATGACGGGTGCTTGACGCACTCGACATGGCCGCATTTCTTGCCAAACACATGGATCGTCCCTGGCTTGGCGTGCTGGGCACAGAACTACGGCTTCTTGCTGCCGGCTCTACCGTATGACGGTTGCTTGACGCACCCGACATGGCCGCACTTCTTGCCAAACACATGGATCATCCCTGGCTTGGCGTGCTGGGCACAGAACTCCGGCTTCTTGCTGCCGGCTCTACCGTATGACGGTTGCTTGACGCACCCGACATGGCCGCATTTCTTGCCAAACACATGGATCATCCCTGGCTTGGCGTGCTGGGCACAGAACTCCGGCTTCTTGCTGCCGGCTCTACCGTATGACGGTTGCTTGACGCACCCGACATGGCCGCATTTCTTGCCAAACACATGGATCATCCCTGGCTTGGCGTGCTGGGCACAGAACTCCGGCTTCTTGCTGCCGGCTCTACCGTATGACGGTTGCTTGACGCACCCGACATGGCCGCATTTCTTACCTAGCACATGGATCATCCTTGGCTTGGCGTGCTGGGCACAGAACTCCGGCTTCTTGCTGCCGACTTTACCATATGACGGTTTCGTCGCGCAACCTGCATGATCGCACCTCTTACTACGAACATCGACCATGTCCTGCTGGGCGTGCTGAGAGCAGTACTCCGGTTTCTTGCTGTCGACCGTGCCATAGGACGGCCGCGTTGTGCACCCTGGATGACCGCACTTCTTGCTCACAACATCAACCATGCCGTTCTGCGCGTGGTGGGCACAGAAGTTCGCCTTCTTGCCGCCGTCTTCGCCATAGGACGGCCGCGTTGTGCACCCTGGATGGCCGCACTTCTTACTGTAAAGGTTGACCATATCCTGCTGCGCGTGCTGGGAGCAGAACTCCGCCTTCTTGCTGCCGTCCTTGCCAAAGCGCGCCCGCGTTGTGCACCCTGGATGGCTGCACTTTTTAGGATGAAGGTAGACCATACTCTGCTGCCTGTGCTCAGAGCAGAACTCCAGCTTCTTGCTGCCGTCATTTCCATACGACGGATGCTTCGTGCAATCTGGATGGCAGCACCTATTGCTCACGACATTGACCATGCCCTGTTGCCTGTGCTCAGAGCAGAACTCCGGCTTCTTGCTGCCGGCTCTACCGTATGACGGGTGCTTGACGCACCCGACATGGCCGCATTTCTTGCCAAACACATGGATCATCCCTGGCTTGGCGTGCTGGGCACAGAACTCCGGCTTCTTGCTGCCGGCTCTACCGTATGACGGTTGCTTGACGCACCCGACATGGCCGCATTTCTTGCCAAACACATGGATCATCCCTGGCTTGGCGTGCTGGGCACAGAACTCCGGCTTCTTGCTGCCGGCTCTACCGTATGACGGTTGCTTGACGCACCCGACATGGCCGCATTTCTTACCTAGCACATGGATCATCCTTGGCTTGGCGTGCTGGGCACAGAACTCCGGCTTCTTGCTGCCGACTCTACCATATGACGGTTGCTTGACGCACCCGACATGGCCGCATTTCTTGCCAAACACATGGATCATCCCTGGCTTGGCGTGCTGGGCACAGAACTCCGGCTTCTTGCTGCCGGCTCTACCGTATGACGGTTGCTTGACGCACCCGACATGGCCGCATTTCTTACCTAGCACATGGATCATCCTTGGCTTGGCGTGCTGGGCACAGAACTCCGGCTTCTTGCTGCCGGCTCTACCGTATGACGGTTGCTTGACGCACCCGACATGGCCGCATTTCTTGCCAAACACATGGATCATCCCTGGCTTGGCGTGCTGGGCACAGAACTCCGGCTTCTTGCTGCCGGCTCTACCGTATGACGGTTGTTTGACGCACCCGGCATGGCCGCATTTCTTACCTACCACATGGATCATCCTTGGCTTGGCGTGCTGGGCGCAGAACTCCGGCTTCTTGCTGCCGACTGTACCATATGACGGTTTCTTCGCGCAACCTGCATGATCGCACCTCTTACTACGAACATCGACCATGTCCTGCTGGGCGTGCTGACAGCAGTACTCCGGTTTCTTGCTGTCGACCGTGCCATATGACGGCTCCTTTGTGCACCCTGGATGACCGCACCTCTTGCTCACAACATCAACCATGCCGTTCTGCGCGTGCTGGCAGCAGAACTTCGCCTTCATGCTGCCGTCTTCGCCATAGGACGGCCGCGTTGTGCACCCTGGATGGCCGCACTTCGTACCACGAACATGGACCATGCCCGGTTTCGCGTGCCGAGCGCAGAACTCGGGCTTCTTGTCACCGTCTTTGCCATAATTCGGCCTCGTTGTGCACCCCGGGTGGGCGCACTTCTTGCTACGCACGTCGATCATTCCTCGCTCCCTGTGCTGGTAGCAGAACTCCGCCTTCTTGCTGTGAGCTTTGCCGTACGATGGCCGTATTGTACATCCGTGCTCCCGGCAGCTCCGCTGTCCCTGGCGTTGACATCTGGCGGTCGATCGCGATGAGGCCTGCAAGGCACGGTAACAGTTATGATCGGGCAGAACCCACAATCCAGAGTGAAATACAGGTCGCTATCTCAGCAACCATGGGGCAGGCATCAAGAGGCAGCGACCGACAATTAAATATTTCCACACCGCTTCAGAATCTCTGCACCTCCGTTTTCGAGGTTTCGTGATTCACTATGTCCTTGTTGCCGGGGTGAACGCACTCGTCGGTGTTCCATCACCGACAGCTTTGCCGTGCGTTTCCCGTCACCATTGTGCTCTGAATTTTACAAGCTCCTCAAGACAGGTCCCTGCTGAACCTCAGCGATTACCTCTCAAGGGAGAACGGCTTCGACACAGACTCTGACTGTTCGTCCTTCTTGTCAGCTACTTTTGGTCTGCTGAACGGTCGGTACTTCAAGCGTTTTCCTCCATAATACCTCGACTTTTGGTTTCTAACCGAAGGTTCTCACCACGCATCATATACTTTGCAATCCACTCGGACGCACAGTCTATTGAAGGATGGGAGACCTCGCATCCCACATGCAACCCCACTCGCAACACACCACCAATGGGCTCTGTAGCGTGAAGTGATGGTGTGCGCATTGGGCTTCCCGGGCAACACAAGTGAGACAGCGCGTTGCTAAGTCCGCGTGTATTCCCCTTGCAGTTCATCAAACACGTTTCAACACAAACCTCTCGAGAGTAGTAATAGTGACCATCGGACAACATACACGGGTGAAGACTCGGCTAGAACTGCAAGCAGTCCGACTTCCTCCCAGAAAAGCGTGGTCTGAAGACTGATTAGCACTCTCGCCGGTGCTCGATTCCGGTGGCTGTGTACTACCGATCGCGTGCCCGGCAGCAATCATCCCGAACCTACATCACCACCAACGAACACCACTCGGTTGCTGTTCGGAAGGCCGGTAATTAGTGAGTGGCGTGCTTATCAACCCTGAGGAAAGCATGTGCTGGCCAGCCACGAATCATGACGTATTCGAATATACACGCGAGAGAAACGAACCGTTCACAGAGCCCACCGTCTTGTGTGTTGCCACCGTCCCACCGCCCATTGTTCCTGGTGCGGAGGCCTTCCGTTGGCGCTTGGACGTGGGGCTGACAAACCAAACACGATGTTTCCCCATGTGAAAGTTAACGAAACACTGGGGAGGGGTCAGAACGGCATGCGATTGTATCTACGGCCGCCGCCACGATAGCGCGTTTCATTGGGCAAGGTTGTCTCTCAATTACCTTCGCGTCAAAAAGAGCGCAAACAGACTGCTCGTGTAAGTGATGCATTCAGTACAGGCCATCTCTGTTTGCCGCGATAGTCTCAAAGCGAGTAGAGCCCCCATCTGCAGCGAACAGCGTCTGAATCGTGTAGGACACACTCGAAGCTAACGACGTGCGGTGACGTGGTGGTTCAATCGAGATGATTTTGAAGATTCGATATTGAGAAAGCCGATGTCCAGCGGTGGACCATGGGTCAGTCTGAAGCGTCGACGGCTATGTTTCGCCGGCTGCAACAGAAGGGGGACGGCACGCCTACGAAGAACCGACGGTGGAGGATCGGCTCCATTCCATGTCACCTTAATTACCGCATGTTTCCTGAGGGAAGGGGGAGGCGTTGTCATTGGCCAACCGGAAACAACTAGGAAAACGGCACAGCAGGGCTTGCATGGCCATAAGGCGACCCAGCCGCGTATGTACATGCGTGTAAACAGAGTGAAATGAGACTGAGCAGAAGTTAACTTCTGGGGAGAAAATGGCAGTCGGAAGGGTCCTTTCCCCCGTCATTTCTCGTCAGGCAACGGAAGGTTAAAGAAACTTAGCATTCTATTGCAGACAAAAGAGTTCTGGTGTTGACGCAATCACCATCACCTCCCCAATGATGGACGAACGTTAGAGCGCCATCAAAACCGCGGGCTTCACTGACGGCGTGTATGACACGCAGACCAGTACAAGCACAGTGTGCAGCCGACAACCAGAGGGTAACCAATGAAGAGCGCCAGGGTGAACGCTTTTGTGTGGGCGCTGTCAGTAAGCATTCGAAGTGTCGGCAGATGCCATGAAGCGTGTTTTGTATCGTGTCCTGAGACGTAGGCACCTTGTGGCCGCCTGAGAGAGATTTGCGGTTTCTCTCTGGTCTAAACTGAACGTCGCTGCCGTAGTCTAGACCTTTGCACCCTTCTAAGTGGCTACGGAACGGTCATAAATACAAACCTTCTAAATCAACTCTGTGCGGAGACCTTGCCAGCGAGCGGGGCCGCAGATCTTGGGTAGAAGATCTCGGGAAGATGATTGTTGCCGCTTTGAAAATATAGCCAAAAGAGAAACTGAATCTCTGAAGGACAACATCTACACACGGTTGATCCCGGCATCTCGTGCGATAGACACACAGGAATACCTCTATCTCGCGCTCACCTTTCAGCGTGGTTGGGTTGCCGGCTGCTGGCTGTCCAGGCACTGTGCCGGCAGAGGGCCTTGGCCATACTCCCGAGCTTGCGCTTGCCTGGCCTTGCCTGGAGCGAGTCATCCGAACATTGCAAATAATGGGTCTGGTTGTGCCGCAAGTATCTGCCATCTCCGAAAGGCAATGCTGGGGCTACACAGGGAATAACCCTATATGAAATCGAGAGCATTTCAGTCCTCGCCATTATCTGACTACAACAAGACGGAAATACTAACACGGCTTGTTGGTGCGGCAAGAAGACATGAGCTTCGGTGCTAAGGTGATCCCGAGACAGACTAACCCAAACCGTGAAGGGAGACTTCGCGTAACATGTACCAGGCTTCAACGGGATGCTCAGAATTGTGTCGAGAAGAGTGGCCACCTTCAATGCAGGTCGTACGGATGACGTTGCACGCTTCATTGAAGGTAGAGAGTTGAGCAAACTTCAAGCGCTCTCCACCTCTACCAGTTTGATGCGACGGGGACCGTATGCGTCAAATCGAAACAGAGTGGTACCTCTGATGTCAANCTTCATTGAAGGTAGAGAGTTGAGCAAAATTCAAGCGCTCTCCACCTCTACCAGTTTGATGCGACGGGAACCATATGCGTCAAATCGAAACAGAGTGGTACCTCTGATGTCAACCCCTAGCCTCACCACCTCTTCTTGCCCCTCCTCTTGCTCCTGCTCCTCGTCCTGCTCCCCCTCCTCCTCCTCCTCTTTCTCCTCCTCCTCTTCCTTCACCTGGATGCCACCGATCCCAGGATTAGCCTGTTAACGTCATCCAACACGACACAGTCGCCGCATAAGGGTTCCTACAAGTAAATGAAGCAACAAATTGCCAATGTACGACAAGCTGGCAGTGAGGGGGAAGACAATTTCCACTTCATGGTGCAAATCTCGTCTCGAAATGCCTCAACAACAACAAACGCTTTTCCGGCTGGGCGTTGCCTCCAACCGGGCTCCGCAGTCCATCGTTTGCAGCTGCACTTGAGGCTCACCTTGGCTGCCCCAGCCAGGTGCGTGAATTCAGAAGATGACATCGAGCCTGTGTGCAACGCGAAACGGATTCCAACGAGCACGAGGCGGCATATTTCCGAACGTAGCGGTGGGTAGATGACTCGACAGAACCAGCTGATGCACAGAGCACGGGCTGTCATTTTTGCCCAAGGGCCACACGCCGTCCTTACTACTCTCTCGATTGTTTCCCGGCTTCATTCTCACCCGAACCCTTTCTGCCGCTGTCGACGCCATGCTGCATTGTCCCGAACGAGATGATTGAAACAACAGCAACAGTAAGTCTGGGTGGTAAAAGGGTCAACTAGAGGGTAGCGCATTGGATTTGCCGTTAGCTCCTCTCAACTTTCTTCGAAGCCCTGTCGGAAAAACCTTACTGAGCACAATTGTAGGCCAGCCCGTCAGAAAAACACACACCTTAGGTGCCTTTTCTTAAATAACTATCTGCTGATTGGATTCCGGCGGAGGCGTACGCACTGAACATCGAAAATCGGTGTTGTGGGTTGTATACAACGCGGGAGGCTGTCTGCGGGTGTGGGTCGGTGTGTCCATAAGAGCCAGTAGACTGGGGCCCGCTTCACCGGCAAACAACCAAATTACAAGCCAACCCTGCTTCACAACGGTAGTAATTTCCCCGTGCCGTAACAAACGCTTCTCGCGTATTACTCGCTAAGCTCGTCGAGAAGCTGTAGAATGGCGCTGTTGGCTCATTGTGCATGAGCTTCGAACGCGGCCGTTAATTTTTTCTACTTGCTACACTTCATCGCAGGTTTGGTGTTTCGTGGGTCTCTCTAAAATGGCTGAAGCCACAGCAGTAGCAAACCATCCGCTCGTCGCTGTGCGCAAATCCTTCCTCTTGTGTTGTGGTTGTTGGAGACCGTGAGGCGCGCTGAGATTGAGAAACGAATTTTGCAAGGGTCGACTGCTGTACGAGAAGTGATACACCGCTCGCTGCTTGGCAGTTTTCTTGCCATGTCGCCGGTGTTGTTCAAAGTGTGCTCTCTCTCCACAGCCCCGCAACTTCTAGCACGGAGGGGCGATGATCAAGCGAGCGAGAAAAACGAAACTTTCGTCCATCGATATGTGTGTGGTGGGGAAGCTTCAGATCATGTGCTGTCTCCTTGCGAGTCTGAACAACGGTTGAAGTGTGTGCATCAAATGGTCACCATTCTGCACTTTGAGCGCACCTGGCCACACGATAACCACGCATCAATGGCCGGGATCGCAGCACAGTGGTGCTCGGAGCCCCAGATGAGCTCGCTACGACCAGAACGTGCTGCAATAAACGTGGATCTTCGTGCGGTTTATGGGCACTGACCATGTCGTCCAGGCACCTGAATAAGAGGTTGAGTGGTTCGGCCTGCTCACTGGTGGTCAAAGGGAAGCTAGTTTTGGGTAGAGTACCCGCTACTGTCCGAGGACGGGGTGGTACGCCCACTACGGTCCATTTCCCAAAAACAAATCGACGCTGCGAGCTTCCATGCCAAAGCACACGCAACGTGTCACGCATTCCAAAGTATGTATAGACGTAACACCATTAACAACAACTAATGTGCAGGCCAAAGATTTGCTGTTCTTCAATGTCGTCATCGCTGAAATGAATCAACCACGCGTGTTTTCGTTCGGGTTCTAGAAAGTGTACCCTCCTTTGTGTAGCAACACTACTATTTTGACCACGGAAGGCGTCCGCGTCAGTTGGACCAGTACGGATATACAGAGGTACTGAGCGAAGACCGGAACGGTACAATAATGTTTGTTGTCTAGGGCGGTCTGTAGGGGGGCTTTCGTTTTGCAAAGAACAAGAAAATGTCACACCAGGGGAGTGAAGAAACGACTACGCACGTCCGCCTGACGGTCTGTCTGTGATGAGGTCGATCAAAACCCAGCAGGCTGGAGCCCATTTCGCAATGTGGGCACCAAATCGCAAGCCGACGCTTATGCCCAACGAGTAGCATTTTGCTCGAGCCATCCCAACTACTACCTGTTTGATCCGGGGTCAATGCCTCGAGATAGCACAGCATCTGTGCCGAACTTAAGGAGAGGGAGTGCAAAAAAGGTGTGCCCATTACTTGTTTAGCTCTCGGCGGAGGAAGCGAGAGGAGAGGTGAACATTCACTGGTTGGTTCTCGGTTCACGGGTTGCTGCTTTGTTGTACAGCGTTTTTTCATCTCGCTCGTCGGCGACCTCGGAAAGAGGCATCACTACCGTAGACACCGCCATCGACGACGCATGTGATGTTGTACACCTCTCTCTACTTGGTGCCAGGGTATCTAGTTTGCGACCTGTGCGTTCCCTGCTAGTCTCGTCACCCGTAACGTGCTCTTTGAGTTGCCTCAAAGCAAACGAACGAGTTCAGAGGAGCAGAAAGCAAGTTTTTTGTATATTTTCGAGCTGAAGATCACCCCTCGGTTTGAATCACCGTCGCCCCCTAGAGCTCCAAAACGGATGGGCGCGTGACTAGCCTGCAGCCGGTACTTTTCTCAGCAAAAAAAAAAAAATACATGAAATTTGCCGGTGAAAGCGAAATATAGCTCAAATGCTCTCGTGAGTACCAAACTTCGACGTTAGCACCGTTGACGAGGGAAACGGACGGCTGGCCCCTTCTCGATATACTAAACCGGGAATGGGAATAGTGCTTTCCCAATTTCGACAAAAAAGGTCCTGCAGTAGGCTTGTGC